CTATGTATATGATTTTTTTTTTTTTTACTTTGGTACCATTATAAGAAATTGTTAGGCATATATGAATTTTACAAAGATCTTCGGATTTTAAAAATGCAGCTTAACTTTCAATATAACAGGAAAAATAGTCATTGGCATTTACCATCTGGATCCAGTGAATCTTCAAATAAAAAAAAATATATATATATATATTTAATTCATTTAATGAATAATTTACCAAGTATAAGGGGGTAGTTCAATTAGAAACTTTAATAAGAATTTAAGCTGTAAACACAATTTTTATTTCATATATTTTGGCTTTGAAGATACATATATACATACATATATATTATATATATATACACACACACACACATATTTTAGAGGTGTATGTATATGTGAAATGAAATATATATATAGACAATGTCAGTTGAATGTGACCAACCACTCATCACTTGCCATGTGTGAACCTGGAACATATCCAGCTTATAAATAGTAACTCCAGATTTCAAATACATTTTTATTAGGTTCAAGCTTATTTATACTGCTGGTTCTTCTTACACTTGCATCATGAAAATGCAAAACTGATGACATGATTTTGTTGAAGGATGGCAATTATTTCAAAACATTTTAATTTTTAGATTTATAAGCAATGTCACTGACCAGTCCAGTAATATTTTCATTTCCACATCAGTTGTTTCCTTTCAGTCACCTTTGTATACATAGCTGTCTTCAGCATTTTTCAACTTAAGAATTTTATCAAGTGGGGGCACCTGGGTGGCTCAGTGGGTTAAGCCTCTGCCTTCGGCTCAGGTCATGATCCCAGGGTCCTGGGATCGAGCCCCATATCAGGCTCTCTGCTCAGCAAGGAGCCTGCTTCCTCCTCTCTCTCTGCCTGCCTCTCTGCCTACTTGTGATCTCTATCTGTCAAATAAATAAATAAAATCTTTTAAAAATAAATAAACATTCCTTTAAAAAAAAAAAAGAATTGTATCAAGTAAATTTTGGTGCATAAACTCATAAAAAATGAAAGAATATAGCCACACCGCCCATTTAGCAAAATTAGATGGTCCAGGTCCTTGTAAAATTTGCATGATGAAGCCCATCCTGTTGAATAAGTGGATAAGAATACCAGATTTTCTAACTGTTCTTAGAAATATATGGTTCACTCATCCATTCTTAAGTTTGAGAAAACGATTTAGAATATACACTCTATGAATGTACTAAAAATATGATAAAAATAATTTAAAAAAAATAGAGTATACAACCTAGACTTCATAGTCTGAGATTTTGCTTGCATGCCAATCTCATCAGCATTATTAGGGTGTCAAGTACTGCCCTCTGTCTCTTTGCATTTACTTTTTGATTCCTTTAATAACTGTAGAAATTCTTCTGTTAATTTCCTTCTACTCGCCACTGTATCAAAACAAAGAATTCTAAAGTATTAACTATAATCAACCAAAAGCCTTAAAAAAAAACCCAAAACAATAAATTCTAAAGATGGTGTCTCCCCAAATTTTTATATCTTCTTGAAATATAATGCAATACTTTGGGCGATGCTATATGAAAACTGAAGGATGATCATTTATTTTACTATTATATACTATTACATTCTTCTTCTAGGGTATTCCATCATTTTTCCATTTCTTTACTATTTTAGTCTTTTAAAGTCTAGTTGGAAATAATTGATTAGTAATGATTAAATAATTCCTGGGATGATGAAATAAAATATTTGAAAATATGTAGGAAGAATTAAATCACTGAGATCCCATAATGTATCTTAGAGTTATAAAAGGGTCCAGTGGACCTATATGGGAATTAAAGGATATTTTATTCTGTTTTTAAAAGCACAGTTTCTCTTTATTCATTGGAGAATATTAAGACTAAAAGTCATGAAATACAAATCTTTATAAAGTTAGAACTGCTCAAAAAAAGAAACCCAGAGCTAAAATTTTGTTCAGTGGACCCACGTAGTATCTCAGGTAAAGTCATGGAGGTGGGGGAGTATTTCCTAGAGAACTAAAAACTTTATAAAGCCTTGGATCACAGGACTTTTCATCAGCCTGGGTCACAGGGGCAGAGTTTTGGCCCATGCTTTCTTTGCCGGAAGTTCCCCTCATTCCTCAAAGGACTGGGTGCACGTGCCTCGCCTCTTTTTGTTCTTGGATATCCTAACACTCAGGCCACAGGTAATTGGTGCAGGGGTAGACAGTTTTGAATATAAATTCCTCTTTTTTCAGATTTTGAATCATAATAAATAAATATGGGGCACCAGAGCCAAAGAGCTAGATCAGAGATAGCAGCACCACAGACCTCAAAGTCTTACGCAAAACTAGACTGCAAAGCAGCAGAAAAGAAGACATTTTCAGAGAGGTCAAGCAAAATGAAAAGGATATTCAGAATCCAGGCAACATGACCCAGTGAGGGGGAGATGGTGACAAAATCTGGCTGAACTTCCTACAATTTTAATTACTGTTGAAGACGAGGTTCAGATACTCCTCATGAATTTGGAGAAGCTCAGGGCTCAGGAGCCTAGCAATTGAGGATATCTAGCAGTAGCTACAATAGTCTGTGAAACCTAGCCCTTTTTTGCAGGATAAACATGTTGATTACTATCACCCATGCTAACTCCTGACCCCTAGTAAATCGCTTCCTTAGGTTGGAATGTAATCTGTGGAGGGAAGGGATTTTTAGGGCTAGACTATGGAAGAAGTGCTTCCTGTTCTGCAGCCTTTTTCCACTTTGCCTCCTTTATTCTCTTGAGGACAAAGCCATTAAGAACAATGGGTCTAAGAAGAGCCAAAATAACAAAAAACCTGAGGGAATGGTCATTAGGTAGCCTGGTAATCAAGGAAGCAGGCTTAACCCCACAGAAATTCTTGGCATTGCCTTTTAGTCAAGGATGTACTACTCAAGAAAGACAAGGACTGAAAGCTCACTAAAATTCTGGGGCAGTTATCAGAACAAGGCACCTATACCAACTCACAACAATATGGTGTTGGTCCTAGTCTCTTCTGGAGATTCTGACTCAAGTAGAAAGGTTGCTGGTCCCAGACAATACTTAATGAAGTGGAGAGAGATCAACTCTAATGCCTTTCAGAAGGTCTGAAGGATGATGGGAAAAGGAAATCCTTCTAATGGGCAGATCCTGGGACCGTCAGGCATGATTTAGGAATTTATTCTACTGCCAAGAGGGTTAAGAAACAGACTGGGGACATTTATTTAAGGGCAGACTAGTGACCACTATTTGACCCTTTTTTCTAGATTTTTTCCCTACCTCTAAGTCAACCTCTTTTTCTAATTGATCATTTTTATGACGTCTTTCCTATTGTATCTTTGGCGTGGTGGTAGTAAAATGTGCTGATACACCCAGAGGAGGTCATTCAGGCAGGATGGTGATTACAACCAGATGGAGACTTGAGGAGCAGCCGCTTGTAGCTGTACCTCTAAAACTGGATCAAATCAGGCGAGACTGTGTCTTGAAGGAGGAGTTGTTTTGCAGAGAATAAAGATGTTCAGGGAATATACCTAGTCCATATCCACTTCTTGGGAATGATTCCAAAGCCCCCATTTTCTACCAGGTGACTCCACTGTCAAGGCTTCTGCAAATGCTTGCGTGAGGTCATGTGCATATTGCCTGTTTCTGTGAGAAGGTCCTGCCCCGTCATCCTGGCCACAACTGCCCGAGACCCCTGATCACGCTGAGTGAGCTTCAGTCTCAGGAGCTGAGCTGAGAGATACCAAGAGGTAAGTGGGTCAGTGGAGTTGTGAGGTTCGACAGAGCTGGATTCGGAGTTTGCACCATGGCAACTCAAAGGCATGAATGCCAAGGCTACGGAGACAGGGCTAGCATGTTGCCCTGTGTGGAGAAGCAGTAATGTAGAGGCCTTCAGAGGAATCAGTCCACATAGAATAAACCAGACGCACGGATGCTTAGGTGTAAGAGAAAAAGAACAAAGGAGAGAGAGAGAGAGGGAAAGAGACAGAGGAAGAGGGCGAGCAGAAAAGAAGGAAGGTAGGAGACAGAGACAGAACTAGTCATAGAAACAGCCAGAGGCCACTGCAGACACAGAGAAAGAGATGACCTGTTGGTGACCTCCTGGACACCACAATGTCTGGCTATACTTCTTGCAGTTAAATTCCAGATTTCTGATTCTTTTTAACAACTTCCTATTTACAGGCTATTTTAGGTAGATTTCTGATCTCTTGCAGCCAAACAATTCTTGACCTAAATATCTGCTCCTTGACTGTAGCTGCATCTTATTAAATGTTTAATTTGCAATTACGGAAATACATACACTAACATAACTGGGACACTAAAAAAGTGAGGCTCTTGAGAGAGGGACATTTATGACATCTAAAGACTTTCAAAGACAGACTTGGTTTTATACAGTAGTAACAGCTAACATTTACTGATCACTTCCCTTGGGCCAGTTTCGAAAGCTGTGCATGCATGATCTCACCTGTTCATGACAACTCCAGGTTTTATTATTATTACTGCCGTTTTGTAGATACGGAAATTAAGGTAGAAAGAGATTAACTTGCTCAAGGACACACAGGAAGGGAATAAAGGTGGGATCTACTGTTTATTTACATTAAAACTGACATTTAAAAAAAGTGTATGCATTCATTTAATATTCAGTTGATAAATTTTTGTGAATCCTCTTATGTACAAAGTTGGATTTAAACTAATGAACTGGTTAACGCTGATGTTACAAATATAAAGTCCTTTTAAATATTATTATTAAAAATAAATCTTGCTTTCTGTGGTATACACACACACACACACACACACACACACACAGATGTGCTTTCAATTTAAGTTTCTCAATTTCCAGAATACCTCCTTTAAAACAGAAGGGAACACATACTGACAATGCTGTTTTTAATGCCTAACCATTTCAAAATCCACTGGAATATCTGAAGGTAACGTGCTGCACATGGACTCACACGAAAAGAAACACTGCCTTCAGAGGGAAGCTACACCGATGACTACACAGCCATTGAATTAACTACAGGGTAAGTTACACGTATATAAAAAAGTCAAATGACAAGAATGAGAAGAGTTTTTCATGGAAGGTGGTGAGTAGCCAGGGATTCTGCTTCTCTTGATTTTCTGAGCAGGGCTTGTTTGAGGGCACTAATTTTTTCATCAAGTTCAGCCAGTGAATAGTTCTGCTGTAAACAACAAGAATACAGATTGCTGAATATGACTCTGAAGTATCTTAATGCAGATAAAGTGCTAAATGAACTATATCTAAAATATGGTAAATGTCTTTTTTTTCTTCATGAGAATAATTTTTAAACTGAACTATATATGTTGACTATATCATAAACTTAAAGGAATAAAATAACTAAGGTTATTAAGTTATTGATTTTGATAACAATGTTTCTTTCTCTTTTCTGATGACAAAGATCTGGACCTCTCTACTCTCTGAAAGGACTGTAAAAACTTTTTCTTTAACCAACTATTCTCATAATCAGCAGTAAAAAAATTAAACTTTAGGATTAGCTTAACTGCTAGAAATTCTCTTTTGATGGGTCAACTGCAAATCAACTAACTCTCCTGGAAAAAATGGATGCTCTCAAAAATATACTCAAAATTCTACAATTAAAAAAATAAGTAGTATGCTACTCTTAAAAAATCAAAGGCGGGGTACGTGGGTGGCTCAGTGGGTTAGGTCTCTGCCTTCGGCTTGGGTCATGATCTCAGGGTCCTGGGATCAAGCCCCATATTGGGCTCTCTGCTCAGCAGGCAGCCGTCTTCCCCCCTCCCTGTGCGTGCCTCTCTGCCTACTTGTGATCTCTCTCTGTCAAATAAAATAAATAAAATCTTTTAAAAAAAGTAATCAAAGGGGCATCTCGGTGACTCAGTGGGTTAAGCATCTGCCTTCGGCTCTGATCAAGACCTCAGGGTCCGAAGATGGAGTCCTGCATCGGGCTCCTCAGGGAGCCCGCTTCTCCCTCTCCCTAGGCCTGCTGTTCCCCCTGCTTGTATTCTCTCTCTCTGTCAAATAAGTAAAAATCTTTCAAGGAAAAAATAAATAAATAAATAAATTTTCAAAGTTTTCTCTAACTTTAATTTCACATTACTGCCATTAATAGCTACCAGAACCTCACTATTTAAGATTCAACTAATTCATATAGTGGTACTATGGACAGTGGTGGGCTGAAGTCAACCTCGCCCAAACACCCTTTTTTTATTTAGATGCTAATTAGTAGTGTCAGCAAAGCAGGGAGGGGGACAGGATGCCTGGCTGGCTCAGTAGATAGAGAATGCAGCTCTTGATCCAGGGGTCCTGAGTCTGACTGCCAAACTGGGTGTAGAGATTACTTAAAAGGTTGGGGGGGGTGGTGTGCAGCAGGGCGCTGGGGCATCTGTCAATTAAATGTCAGACTCTTGGTTTCAGCTCATGTGATTTCAGGGTCATGAGATCAAACTTCATGGGCACAGGGCTCTGGACTCTGCTCTCAGCAGTGGGGGTGGGGGATGTCTGCTTGATATTCTCTCTCCCTCCTCTTCTGCCCCTCCTTGTGCTCTCTTTCTATCTCAAATAAATAAATAAATCTTTTAAAAAAGGCGGGGGATTAAATCACCTGAGCATTTATTATTTTTCAGCATTTTGTAACTGATACATTTTGCTCCAAGTAACAGCTAGATAGACACTTTCATATTTGGCCCCTCTGAATCATTCCATGCCCCTCAAATAAAATTATTTCTTTAATTCAAGTTCATAAATTTATGCTGTCCCCCTTTTTTTCCCCCAGTCCTAAATGCCAGGTATGATCTAAAAGTAACCAGAGTAAGAACTTTTATTGATAAGGGAGGTGTAAAACTAATCAAACTACTTCAGAAGCCACAAAGAGAATTCAGTAACTTACTTGAGGTGGTTGAACTTTTCTTCTTTTTCCAGAAAAGCTCTAGATTAAAAGTGAAAAAAGTAAGCAATCAATGCTTAGAAAATCTACACAATTTTCATTTACAGACTACTGAACAAAATACAGAGAACCCTGGCAGAAACAAAGCCCGTAAGTCTCAGCAAGCGCTAGCTGCCACTGACATCTGCCTTCTTGTGTCTTGGAAGGTACCCTCCAAACAATGATATTAAAAGTACATAGTAGTAACACTGAAGCACTGTTTAAGTCAGTTTGAGTAAAAATGTCTGTAACTTAAGTGGACAACATTCTCGCTGACATGCTGCTGAAACATTTAAAGCCTGACCAGGTGAATTTTTTTAGATTTTGTCCTTTGTCTCACAGAACCACAAACTTCGGAATAGCAAATTAGCATATTGGTACATTTGACAAAGAAACTGCCAATGTAGGCGGCAAAATGTTCTCATGAACATTTCTGACCACTGGGATTTAGAAGGGAAGGTAAAAATTCACATTTCCTTTTGTGTCAAAAAGTGTTTCAAAGAGTTTCAAGATATGCCTCTTATCAGTAGTTACAGTAAGTGGGAAATCATTAAGTGTTGGAATTATTAAATATGGGGGGAAAGGTGCTTATATAAACAGCTTCCTTCCTTTGCCAAACTGACCTGGCTACCTGTGATGGGGCCCATAGGCAGGTTAAGGGCTTAATGTTTAATTTTAGTCAGAAGGCTTCTCAGTCTTCTACCTTTCCAAGAGGTGCCTTTTTACACACCTGATTAAAATATACTTCCCCTTGTTTGTCTGTTTATAAGATACTGATAGTTTCCATGTCACTGAGCAATCAGATTATTAACGTATCACAAAACCAAACTGAGAAGTATAAGAATCAGGAGAATAAGGACATCAATGATTCAGTACCTTGAAAACAGTAAAATGTGGTCTTTGGGGCTTATTTTAGGTGTAGTGTCTTAAATATTTCCTCCCTTTGAGTCCCATCCCACCACCCTGATTCAGATCTTCATTTCTCCCCAGTGTGGACAATGATGTTTCCTAAACTATCTTCCTTGATTCTAATCTCTCTCCAACTCAGAGTTCATAATGCCACCATACAGGAACCTAAATTATAGGTTTCTTTTTCTCAGAAACTTAATTGTGCACTAGTGACACTGGCATTACAAACTGGTTAGTGTGCCCTTCAAGGCCCTCCAAAATATGTTTGCAATTTAATTTTCCACCCAGATCCAGCTCTCACCTCATGTTTCAGGCCCACCACGTACTTGGACACGTGGGCCTGTGTACATGCAGCTGACTCTCCCCTCCCTCATTATAGACTAGAGCTAAGATTCTACCTAGTCAGTGCTTTGGAAGAAAGTTAACAGACCTTCAAAAGTCCGACAGTGAATTATCAGCCAAATGCTATTCATTTGTACATTTATTCAATGCCTACTATAGTCTATGTGTTCAAAGACGAACACATAGTTGCCCTTCAGAGGCTCAAAATATAGTGTGAAAAACAGATGTGTAAACATATAAGTGATAGATGCTACAAAATGAACAGAGTGCTATAAAAATGTACTTGTGAAGCATGTTATATTTACTGTTTCAAGGTCATAATTTAAAATCAGTAAGTAATTCTTTGGAAATAACTCATAAGGATTGTATGTTTTAAATGGTTTATTAAGTTATGCCCTTAAAAATGTTTAAACATTACCACATTCAAGTCTTTCCATGTTAAATGTTAAGAGTAAAGTTCTTTAGAATGATTACATTAAAAGGTACAATAAAACACTAATCTTTGTTATAATTCCTGTTTTATATACATTTTTTTGGAGTTTTATGTGTTTCATAACTGAAAAGAAATTCATATAGTCAGTCTGCTTTTGTTCTATGAACCAAATACAATTTATATATTTTTCCTGTCAGCTTTTCTTTTCATATGCTGTGGTTTAATGTTACCCATAATAACGAATCTCTATTCAACTATGAGTCTTCCCTGTGTTTAGAGTTCACCTACATTTCAATCTGAATTAAACACATTTCATTTAAAATCTTTTTAGAGTTCAGAATTCAGTTTCTACAAAAATTCAATCCTTAAGAAATTCAATGGGCTCGAATTTTCCTTACTAACTTTAGAAGCTAGAAGACTGTACAGCCTATATAGCCTTTTCTGCACACCTTTGAAGATATGTAAAAATATGTAATTGCCACACATGTACTCCTAGCATGAGGATAGTAAGAGTGATAAATTACATGTTACATCCTCTGCAGGGTATGTGTATAACTCCTCTCATGCGCACGGACATTCCTAGCGCTGGATCTACTGCAAGCAAGGAGTGCAGCTCCTAAAGATGGCACATTCATTCTATTATGTATGGGTGACTATGAGATCTTCCTTCCCTTTGGGCCTGTGCCGTATTTATTCAGAGGCCTTGAGGACAGAGTTAATTTTAAAGCTTTTCAGTGTTTTGTGCTTTCTTGCAGCTCACTATTGACTTGACATGTCATTTCCAATACTAATCCAAAAGAGATCCTTCTAATAAAATATATATTGTTTAATAGAACTGGAAATATTTTTTTAAAGTACCAGTTTTATCACAGGTATGGTAACCTAACACATCCAGGCCAATCCTGTTTACATTTGTAATGCTGCCAGCTGCTGAAGTTAGGCAGTCACTGAGTTGCAGACTTCAGGCCTCTGATAGTCTTAAGTGTTCTTACCTATTCTGTGTTTTAACCATCACCTCTACAGACTCTCCCAATTATACAAGTCCTACTCTTGAAAAACTTACCTGATATTTCTATCTGCATATCCTGATAGGACTTTAAATTCACATTTCCTCCCCAAGTATCTCCTTCAGATTTTATTTCTGTCAATGACGGTATATAATTTTTCCAATCAGAAAGTGGATTCACCCTTGCTCTATGTCTCTTTCCACAGCCAATCAATTATCAGTATTTGTCAACTTTTTATTTCCTACTCTCTCTTGGATTAATCTTTTCTATTCTCACTCTCTTGTCCTTAATTTGGGATCTCACTTCACATCTAAGCTAGTATAATACTGTCTCCTTAATCTTAATCGCTTCCTTCTCATCTACCTTCCAGAACAGTATTAGATAAATCTTCCAAATAATGTGCTCAAGTTACCTCCCTGCTCAAATGCTTTCAACAGCATTTAAACTTTAAATATTTTAAACTTCTGGGTATAGCAGTTAAGGTCCTCTATAATCTGACTATTTTACCTCTAACCAAATACTCTAAACATTTTATGCTGTGTATAAGAGATCCCCCAAAACAAGATAATGATTTGAAAGGCTGTTCTTTTGCTAACCAAGTTCAATAACAGGTAGATGTTAAGCTTTGTAAGTCAAAATCAAAGAGATTAATGAAGAAGCAAGATCTCTCTGGAGGCATCTAATACTGTGATACTCTCTTGTAAGATCAATTCTACCTTAACAAGGACTACATTAACAAAGTATGAAATTGAACTAGAAAAGTAACCTGCCTAGGGATTACTTAATGAAGGCAGCTTGAATGGGAACAATGTATAGTAGACTGTTTTAAGAAAAAGCATACTTTATCAAGTTTTCTGGGAAGATACATTCAAAGAATAATCCTAAAATTGGAAAGACCTTTGTAATTATTTAGTACAACCAAGAAATCTAAATTAGACAACTGAGAGCCAGAGGAACTGTATGATTTTTCTACATTTATACAGCTACTTCATTCGTGGTTTCTGAAACTAAATAAATACTAATGGTTACTGAGGTTTTACCATGTGCTAGGCAGTGTGCTAAGTGCTTGACTGGTATTATCTCATTTAATCCTTGCTTCAGCCCTTAGAACTCTAGTAAACCTCATTTGAGGGGAATAAATCACTGAAATTCTTTCTCTAAATTTTTGAACTTTGGGTTTCACTGCTCACATTTGTTATATAACCTGCCTTCTTCATCTGGAAATACTTCTTTTCTGTACCTTACTCTAATACCCAGTTTGCCACTTTAGAAAAACTGCTGGTGTACCTAAAATAATTTTAATTTTATTTTTACCAGTGACTTATAATGATTCATGCTAATGAGTTACTTTACATAGTTTTTCAGATAGGAGTTTTAGTAAAATTTTCACTAAAAACTTAGTAAATTAAAAAATTGTGTTCCCTTTTACATGATTTAGTTTTCTAATATGGTGCTGATTAAAAAAAGAAAGAAAACCAAAAATAAAGAAATAAAATTTAAAAATAATCAAAAACAAAGAAGAAGAAAGAAGAAAACCAATCCTCAGAAAAGGCAGGTGTTATGTATAATCACCCCAAAAGACTGAGGAAAATAACACAATCAGCTCAGGATCGCTTGTCTAAAACCTGCTGATGCGACAAAGAGACACTTATCAGCACAACATTGTTTCTTAATGTCCCTAGAAAAGAGAATAAGAATGAATGAATAAATAAGTGCTAGAATGAGGAATTAAACAAATATTGACTAGTCTTTCAAAAAGTTTGGTGGTTAAGGTAAAGAAAAAGATAGGGTGGCAGATTCAGGTGTTTGTCTAGTATGGAGGAGAATGCAAACATGTGTGAGCTGAGGGAAGGAGTCTGTGGACAGGGAGGGATTAAAGAGACAGAAGAGTAACTGACAGAGGAGGGTCCCAGAGGAAGCCTTTTTTCTACAAGACGGCATGTTCATAATGACAGGATTGACAACTACCTAGGCTGATTTATTATGCTATGGAAATGGCTCAAGTTTGAGAATCTGGGTAACATATAATAAAAGGACCCCTTTAAAAAAAAAAAGTGAGTCTACAAATAATACAATGTTTAGAATCACAATTTTTTTTAAAAACTAGGTAACTCCCTACATAGGACTATGTTCATTGTTGAATTATTAAAATGGCGTTTCACCTGTAAGCAGATAAATGAACATGATGAAGCATCGCAAAATAAACTCTACATATAGATAGATATAGATATAGTTTTTTTTTAAAGGACACTTATACTTACTACAGATTGGAAATATTCAGGAGAGATTCCTTCCAGTTCCAGGATTTTATCCTCAAGTTTTTTAATTCTCTGATAAATGTCTCTTGGCACTGGACCACCTAAATACATTAAAAAAAATTCTGAAGTACTATTAAATAATTCTTCTTACAAATTCTGTTCTTAAAATTCCATGTAGGGGCACTGGATGGCTCAGTCAGTTAAGTAGCCAACTCCTGATTTTGGCTCAGGTCATGATCTCAGGGTCCTGGAATCGAGCCCTGTGTCGGGCTCCCTGCTCAGTGGGGAGTCTGCTTCAGGATTCTCTCCCCCTCTGCTCCTCCCACTGCTCTCTCTCTCTCTCCAAAACAAAAAACAAAACAAACAAACAAATGTGCAAAGAAGATACTTATGCAGAGGAATGGGAAATATTTAAGCTTGAGAAGATAATGAACAAGAGTAAAATAAAACGAAATCCTTAGTTCACATTTTCAATATTATACACCATGGGGTGTAGTATTCTTTTGCACCGCTCCTCCAGCCCCATTTATGCTTCCTATTTTGCCAGTTTTACTTGTAAACTCATTACAAGCTACTGAAGAGTTCCTGTATAGAACAGTGTGTACTTCTGATAGATTTGGATAGTTACTTGAGAGGAAAAATGCATAGGGACACCTAACAGTCCAATTCAGTGACTGCTGTATGTATTTATCACTTTCTTTAATTTCTGTTTCTCCTTACATGCCCCATTTCCTCCTTTAACCTAAAGTAATATTAAGGAGGAGCTTTATCATAATTCTTACCTAACAACCTTTCTGTGGAGGGGGAAGATGAATTAAGGTTACTCAAATTTCAGGTTATGATTATATTCCAAATCCTCTTATTTCTCACACCACAACATGACCATTCTGTCTAGACTCCCACCATCTCTTTATGGATACCACCATCTCCAAATTGGTCTCCATGTTTCTACCTTGCTCTCATAGCCTATTCTCAATACAGCAGTGACCCTTTTTAAACGTAAAAGTCAGAGAGTGTCATTCTCTGCTCAAAACCTTCTAGTACTTTTGCATCTCACTCAGATTAAAAACCAGAGCCTTTACAGTAGTATCCAAGGTTCTCCACAATTTGGACATTCTCTCCATACCCTTATCATTCTAGCCACTTGATTCCTTTTTTCTGTTATTCAAGTAGGCCAAGTACTCTCACACCTGTGATTCCTCTACCTCCATATTCACAAGGCTTGCTCTCACCAACTTCAGGTCTGGGCTCAAAAGTTACCTTATCAGCAAGAACTTCTCTGACCACCCTTTAAAAAGTACTAATGATACCACCTACCCCACCCCACTGCAATCCCTATCCTTTCTCTTATTTTTTTTCAAACCATTCTTATTACCTGACAGCCCTATTTTTTTTTTAATTTATTGCCCATTTCTCCACTTTAATATAAGCTCTAGGAAGGCATAATTTTGTTCTGTTCATTAGGTATGGCTGTGCACCTTGTGCACTGCACAAACCTAGGAACCATCAGTTCACAAACTACACAGGTGCTCAATATTTACTGACTAAATACATAATTAGATAATCATTATGCAATTAAAACATATGGGCAAATTTCATATCAAAAGTATCAACTTGTTAAGTATGAAAACTCTAGAAATAGATTTCTTTTTTGAGAATGTTTATTTCAGGATCTGGGTCATTCTTACTCTTGAGTAAGGTAAAATGAGTAATGTATTTAATTGACTTTGCTCTTGCTGCCCCCTTTACCTAGAATGCTCTATGGCTCATCTCTGTATCTTTCAAGAGCCAGTTCAAGCTTCACTGAGTCAGTGGAGCATTGCCTAAAATGCCTTCACATGGAGGCTCCTTGTGCCCCACCATATATGCTTACTTCATAGCACCATAACATTCTACTTCAATATTATTCTTTCTTCCAGATAACAAGGTTCTTGAAGCTAGGGACTGCAACTATATCATTTAAGTATCCCTTGTGTCTGAAACAGCATTTGGCACACAGCAGGCATTCAAAAGATATTTTTCATAATTAACTACTTGATACTATTAGACTTTTAAAAATACATATATAGAGAGAGAATGAGAGAGCCCGTGCAAGCCGGGGGAGGGAGGGGAGTGGCAGAAAGAAAAGAGAGGTGGCTCGGGGGTTGGGGCGCAGAATCCCAAGCAGGCACCATGCCCAGTGTGCAGAACCCAACGGTGCTCAATCTCATGACCCTGAGATCATGACCTGAGCCAAAAATTGAGTCGGACGCTTAACCGACTGAGTCACCATGCCCTGATACTGTTAGACTTAATAAGCTAGTCCATCTTTTTATACAGTTGTTTTGTTAAAAATGCATTTCGTTATGGGGGAGAGGATTAATTTTTAATGCTAACCTCTTATTACCCTTGAAGTTTTACTCAGTCTTATCTTCTTCTACTTCCACTCGGGAAATACTCCAGTGAGACTGGACTCAGAAATTCCTTAATTTATGTAACTCAGTGCTTTTTGCAGATGTTGTTCCCTCTTTTTGGAATAATTTGCTCCTGCCTGCTGAAAAATTCCCAACTAATCCTTCAAGAGTGCAAATGTCACTTTACCAGGGGTACCATCTCTTGACTTCCCCTGAGAGAGCTAAACACTAACTTTGTGTACCCACTGTACTTTGCATATGATGTGAAAAGGTGAGATGAACAATCGTTCATTTAAAAACTCATGAATACCTGTTTTGTACCAGAAACTGCACAAGCACAAAGTTAATGAACATGACTGCTCTTGCAGACCTTACTCTCTAGCAAAGGAAACAGGTATTAAACGCACGCAACTGTGAAAACTGCTATAAAGGATGACAGGGAGTACCAAGTGCTATTGAGACTACAAGAAAGGGGAGTCCGTATCATCTGGGATCAAGAGGGGAAAGTGTGGGCATGAGAGAAAGCCTGGGTCAGGGCCCTAGGACAGCAAAATGAGTGGAAGTTAGGAAACCCAGAGATGGCGCTGGAACTATAGATGTAGATCATGCCACTTAAAATTATAATCCCCTCCCATCCCAAGATCCCTTCTCTTCACTTTATCAAGCTGCTTTATCTGTAGCTCTTCTTGTGTAACATATAATTTATATACTAGAATTTTTGTTCACACGTATTCCCGGTGCCTAGATAGCACCTGGCTTATTTTTATGGAATGAATGAATAAATACTAAGTTTGGTATGCATATAAGGGTAACAGGAAACTATGAAAGAATTTTTAGCTGGGGAGTGGCAATATCAGCAAATCAGAACTTCAGGAAAAGCAATTTGGCTACTGGTATAGAATTTGTCTTGAGGAAGAAGTCTAGTGGCAGAGCAACCAACTGATATCCTTTCATCAGTCCGAGGTAGAGAACACAGTGACTTCAACTAAAGTAGTAGCTGTGGAAGTAGAAGTGGGTAGATCTGAGCAATATTTAGAAGACAGAATCAACAGGATCTGGTAACTAAATGGGGAGGGAGCCAGTTAAGACTGAGGTTTGATTCCTACTTGTCATTACTACCTTGGGCATGGCTTGAGGTCTCTGAACTCATTTTCTTTATCTGACAATAACGGCACCAACAACTCACAAGGGTACTGTTAACTTTTAAGTGAGTTGACAGGGATAATACTCTGAGAGTAACTGGCACTTAGTATTATTCAATAAATGTTAGTTCACTTCCCCTAAGGCATTTACTGATCTATATGCTTATCCTGACTGAAAGATCCTTGAGGACTAGGATCACACTTAGCAATACTTTGTACCTAGCACAGTGAGTGATAAGAATGAGACACAGTCATTAAGTTATGAAATTGGTGGCAGGAAAAAGATTATGTTAATTTTCAGCTGTGACTTAATAAACTGAGAATGTCAGGATCTACTTGGAATCTATTCCCATTCTACTAACAGTCTCAAGTTGGTGAGAAGTATAAGAGTAGGAAGAAGAGCATAAACACATGAACTGTAGATTCCTTGAGAGTACGGGCTATGCCTATTCATTTTTGTACCAACCAGAACAATGTTCTGTACATGGCAGATGCTCAATGGAAATTCTGTAACTAAATAAACTGAGTTTAACTATTTGCAAAGGTACATTTATGGGGCACCACCCAGCACTCTGCTTACCTGTCTGCAATCGCAAGTGAGCCTCAATATTTTGTAGTCGTTCTTCAACAGCCTGATTGCCACAATCTCGGAGCAAGCTGTTAGGTTTATGACCTGACCCCTGAATTCCTTCAGGTCTGGTCTGTGGTCCATATGTATTCACAACTCTAGAAACTATATTAAGAAACTTTTGAAATATAAATTTAATAGGCTTAAAAGTCAGAAATTCTAACAGTATTTCATATTCTTTTCATAAAATCCATCTGACCATCAACCCAAGTAAGAAGGCAAGGCTTTTTGTTTTAAAATATATAAAATTTAGATAGGAAGTGATATCTATTTCATTTTGCTTATAATTTAGAACAAGCTTCTGTCAATGATGAAGATATATAGTGGGTTCTTACCTTTTACATGACTTTTAAATCCCGGGTAAGGAGTAAAAACAGCATCAGTTCTTGCACAACTGTTTTCTAAGGAGAATTTAGATGAGTATAAGTATATTCTTAACTTCAAATGTAAGAGATTTTGATAAACTCCTAATAATTCATATTAACATACTACTAGTAAGAGAATTATCATTTTAAAGAATAGTAATTAAATCACCATTTCATACAGGAGAAAATACAGTGAACTTCCCCCTCTAAAATTTATAATCTTTAATCTTACCTAATCTTCAGATTTGCATACAGAAAAGTCCTTAGCACTCAATGGCACAATTTAATTTTTAATAAATACCAATATTCCCCCAAACCATCTGGGTCTTTAGAGAAAATATTTTATAGAGAGCACTTAATTCTCTATATGCCAAAGAGACATTATTCCATTTATTTCATCACAGAAATAAATTGAACTCATTACTTTTACTGAAAAACCTTAAAAAATTCAACATTTTAATATTATTTACTGATCAAATTAAGGATCATCTAATAAAGATTAATTATACATTTAACACATTTTTATTTCAGAACTCCACACAAAAAAAGATCTTAAAACCTCAAGAATAACACATACTTTTCCACTTTACTTAGGTTTCCAATGCTAACTTAAAAAAATCTCTACCAAAAGTTAGCTATCTCTTTCCAGACCACTCTTTTCAAAAAATGCAATTTTAGGAAAAATAAGTTGTAAAAATTTGTTCCAATATTTCTCTAAGTTGAAAAGTGGTTTTTTTTTTGTTTTTTTTTTTTCCCAAATTAGGTATCAAAAGATAAATTACGAACCCAGGGGGAAAACTGGAAAAATGTTAACATAATATAAAAATGTTTCATAATATTTAAAATGACATTAAGTAAAACCATGCACTGCAGTAAATTTCCTGAAAAATTCCCTTGATTTTTAATAAAAAAATAGATGGTAAAAGAGATACGGAAAGAAAATTTTTTCCCTATGGAATTTAAAAGAAATCTATTGTTTATACTTAAGTCAGATTGACAGGTATCAAAGAAATACACTAACACATTACAATACATTCATGGTTTTTTTTTTTTTCAGTCTGAGTTTCCTACATGGGTCTGCTGACAAATCAAATTGTGTGAACATAATTCCAAATTCATCTTTTATATATAGGTACTAAACAGGATAATTTTCTTCTTCTTTCCTTTTTCTTTTTAGACACCTCAATATACGTTTAAAGGGCCATCGCTTCTCCATTCTCTTCCTCCCATTTCATGGGGCTAAGGGTTAAAAAAAGAAGCTCTCATCCATTCCAGAGTTATATTCCAAGTATATAGATTAACTGACCCATCAGTGAGAAATTCAGCATGGTGTGAAGACGGTGAATGTGTGAGTGCTAGTCACTCTCCACAGCAATTCTCGCTAGCACTGTTTTGAGCCAGCAAGGGACTGAATGGGCCAAGGAATCCTGCTGAGCATTTCAATTCTTGTCAATTTCTATCCCCTGGTGGTTTATAATAATAGAGTTAGCAGGGAGAACAGAGGAATAACATTAGTGACACATGTGCTTGCTCCCTCAACAAACCCTTTCTCATGGGTTGCCTGCAGTTGGATGGATTGTAGTACCTGAGATTGTGCCACTACTGTACCTATTCTGAAAAGCTAACAGGAAAATAATACTAAGTCTACGCATGTATAATGTTAATAGCAGAAAAGGCTGAATTTAGGACCCACTTGAGCCTGTATTATTTCATTATTAAGAGAATCAGTATACCAATGTAAGAGTCAATTCTAGGTTCATTTGACAATTCTGTATTCATAATAATTAGCTAAGAGATGTCAGAGGCAACAAGAAAAATGTTCATTCCAATTAGGAACTCTTTTCCATAATTTTTTCTAAGAACTACTTGTTCTGATTATTACTATGATGCCTGAGAAAGATCTATGCCAGTGCTTTGCAGTATTTTGTATTCTACAGCATACTTACAGATCTGTAACTACACTATAGCATCAAGTAGAGAGGAAAAGGAGAATCTCAAGAAAAATAGCAAATGTATACACTATGAAAAAAAGGAAAAAAGCACAAGACACCATAGTCTTGATGACAGATTGCTTTTATCATGACAAAACATTTCATAAAGCTCAGGAGTAGTGAGAAAACTGCTCCCTCTTGAGGAGTATTAACTTTACTAAGTTTACTTATATATTAACATAATTTCAAAAACACATTTACGGGCTCAAAATTTATATAGTTTAGTTCCTTCTTATTAGTGAGACTGAAAAATGCTGCCACCCATACTTCATCTTCATTTCCCAAAGGAACTTTAAAAAAGAATCTTCACCTGTGGTAAACATTAGCCCTTTTATGTCCACAATTATTTGATTTTGGCATAACCAAAACGAAACCCATTTTTGCAATGTAGTCTTATTAAACAGAAAGAATTTCCACTGCTTTAGTTTCTAAATAAATCTGTGAAATAAATTGTGACTTAATGTTATTCATTTTTAAAAACAAATGAAAAATCAGAGCAACTCTAAAAACTGTGCTTAAAATCCTATGAAAATTAACTTCTTCCAGGTAGTTACCTTGATTACAATCAATAACATTGCAAAATTCCCTGACGTTGTTTTCATTGATTTCGGCTTGCTTTCTTTCAATAAATGCAGATATTCGTCTGTCAATCTATAAACAATAAGTATGCACGTTTTAACAGCTTGAGCATAAAATTTAAAATAATACTACCCCCCCCCAATAAAACCTTCTTACTTCTGCTTTTCCAGCCTTTATTTGAACTACTTCTGGATCATAATGGATCTGTGTCTTTTTCACATCTCCTAAATCACAATCTTTGTGCTTTTCTTCCTCTTGTAGGTCACTAATGGGAAATTTGGCATTTACTTCATTCTTGTTCCCCGTTTCTGTTTTTTCTATCTCTCCAACAACAGTTGTATTCTCCTCTTTAATCAGAGGCTGCAGCTTTGCTAAAAAAGGCTGAGAAGAACAGAATTCCATCTGCAGAGGTTCAAACTAATCAAAATTAATTATACATTTAACATTTATATAAATTTCTGTTAAGTAAATGCAATATTTAATATCAGTTACATATAAAAAGTTAGCATATCAGTATACATAGATCTGATCACATGTAAGTGTTTGCTGTTCTCTGCTATTGTGACCATTATCATTTGGTATAAATCTGTTAAAAAAAAGATAGAAAGAAAGAAAACCTGAGGAAATTTAAAATTTTCTTTGAGGGAATCATTCTGTCACTCATCTTTTATTTTGTGCCAAATCAAAGCCTCAGCCTCTGGCACCAATGCCACTTAATTAACATGTCATTCAAATGCCTCCTCAGAACACTAAGGCTTAGTATTTTTCCTCCTTAACATGAGAGCCAGTGCTCGCTCTCAGCAAAGCCCTGCATTATCACTGGATCACTGAAGATTCTCCACTTGAAACTGCAGTTGGCCAAAGTGAAGGAGAGAGCAGAGACATGAAATATATAGGTGTTATGCTGAGTGAACACTTAGGCTTTTCCTGACATGGCAAGATATCTTCTTGGGTCATGAAATTAAATTTTTAAAAAAGAAAATGAACAAGGGAAAAAAAAAAAAACCTACCAAGATCCACAGCTGGGAAGAGATATATGCCTATCACTATAGTAGAGTGGGTTAAAAAAACAACAAAAAACAACCCTATTGTATAATGTAAATTATACTACTCAAAACCACCCCCCCCTTAATCAGGCCTCAATTGAGTTCTATCGCTCATTATTTCTGTCCATTAATATCAGGGTTAACTATTTCAACATGAAACAGAGTTAAAATTTCCCATAAAGTCACTAAACAGAGGGCTGAAAATTAATGTTTATTCCATTAATCAAAACACACCCATAGTTGTCAATGTTCCAGTTATTTTTTTCATACCTATAATTTTGCTTCTGTTGTTTACTATACCAAGTACTCTTCTGGAACCTTAGAACATCTTAATAGCAGTAAAATGACCAATCCAACAGTTCTTCCACTTACCTTCTGACACTTCATATTTTATACTTTGGTTAGAGATAAACTGCAAACTTAACAACAATTATAATTGCAGAGATGTTCAATTGGAAACCAGCAAGGTCATAATACTGTTCAGTTACTGAACTGAAATATTAAAAACTATAACAGTACTATTATAAATAACTCAATGTTGATTTCTAATGTAGAGGATGAATTATTTCAAACTGTTAAGAAAAAGAAAAGATAAAATAGTGACTGGCTACTTACTAAGATGAGACATTAATGTCACAGAAATTACTTTCTTTTTAAAAACTATGCTGAAACTGTTTAATTGCAATAGACACTCCAGGATGTGTCATGCTGGGATAATGCCACTTCTTGAACCACTGAAAGCACTCCATGAGCCTCCAAACTCACCCAAGGCATGGAATCATTATCATAGCATGACACACACCTGCCGTGTCTTATTGCTTAATTATAACCCACCATAGATGCAACTGTATTGAATTTTCAGTGCAAGTCTAGAATTGAATAGAACTGCATTCATTCAGTCTTCACAGCCACATCGGCCTATTGGACTATATTCCTGAGACTGTCCAGATCACTATATAAATTAACAGATTTGGATCTAATCTGGCTGAAGTAACCATTTATTGATAACACTGTTAATACAGTGGTAAGACAGAACTGACAAATACTCTAGCTTATAATTTAACTACAATTAATTTCTATTCTCAATACTGACTTAATGTTTTTAACAAGAAATTTACCTGTAAATATAAAACATGTTGCTCAAGTGCACTAAAGAGCAAAGCGGGCTGGAATGCCGAGAGGCTCTGGAGCTTGTTCCAATCGATTGTAATTTTCACCACATCATCTCTGAGGTTAAGCTTCAAAGGGGCAAACCAGCAACATCACAAAAATTACATGATTAAGCTGTGTATATGGGATGTCACAAAAATAATATTCTTTAGAGTAACATGCCTATTTAGCTCAAAGTTACCAGATTTTTAATGATACATTAAAATGCTCTCATTACTGTTTTAAAGGGCCAAGAAAGGTGTAATCTTCATTAAAAAACCAATGACCTCTCATTCTAATTCATTTCTTGGGTCTGTGTAATGGGACCATCTTACAGGTGAAACCATCCACGAAAGATGGAAAGATGAGGCTTTTTTGATACTTCATTTTCTAAAACCTTTGGATGAGGGCCAAGATAGGCTTGCCCTATTCAGTACTTCTAGCTCAGACCATTAAACAGAAGGGGAGGCACATTTATGAAACTTCTGATATAAACATTCCTTTTTGTTAAATATGTACACAAAGACATAACTGATATATTTCACTACTCTAATGTTTTCTGAATCACATTTTTATTATTTTCAACTTTAAACAATTTTAAAATAATTTAAAAATCAACATTATTCATACATATTATAAAGTCTAGGGATAAATGGCAACATGTTTATCTACTTCAAATAAAAAACTACAATTTAGCTGTGGAAATTTAAAGTGAAAAACAAATACTCTTCCACAATAGTGAAATAAATGGTCAGAGACTGAATAAAATGGCCAGATCTTTCACTAAAAGTATTTTCTAATACTGTGTGAGGGCTTGTCATATAAAACTTCTTATAAGTTGGCTATGTGTGACCTATTAGAATAAAATTAATCTATAGAAAACTACCAAGAACCTACATATAAAATTAATATCAAAATCAGTGGATATTTTAGAGGGAAAGCCTCTATCTCCAGGCTTTCAAGCAAATAAAAGTGAACCTCCCAAAAAAAGAAAAAAAAAAAAAAAAAAGTGAAACTCCGAAAACTTTTCTAGGGATATGCATTTATAGCATACTATAAAGATACACTGCATGGTAGGATTAAGTTTATTGTTTTTTCAGAAATCTTTTATTAAAAGTCATGTTTTCTAAAACAAAATAAAGGCAAATAGTACATTAGTTCAAATATAGATGTTATGAGTTGTGATTAGAAAACAAAAAGATGAATCACTGTACAAAGAACCAAAGATCCAAAGTTACCAAAAAAGGCACTGTATTGAATAAATACTAGATGACAAAAATTTACCACCCTTTGCATAAGACAAGACAAGAAACATTTAAAGTACATATCAGATAAGTATAAAGAAATAGGAAGTTTCGGATAGGCTGTACTGGCAAAGCTTAGTTTATAATCACTACGGTTTCACATTAGATTACTGCATTAATCTTAATTTATATTAATGCTCATAAAAATTTCATTAGACAACAACTTACATATGGAAGTAAACTATAACTGTATTTCTACAGTCCTCTAAGACTATTAAAATCAGTTGATAACAAATTTATGAATAGAGTTTAGGGATAACACAGACAAATCCTTAACCAAAATAAAGCATCAAGTTTTCTAGAGAAAATAATAACTTACAGAAAATAAACCGTAATGTTGGGATCATACTTTCCTTTCAATTTAACATAATTATGTAAGCCTTTCAAACACAATTAAAGATACTTGGTTTTTTTAAGAAAACCACATAATAATGATACAGATTAACTTTAAAATTGTCCCAATATATCCAACTATTTATTCAACAAATTCCCTATTAGTAATGAGTTCTCTGCACTTTTACCTTTTGTACTTGTAATTGTAAATCATTCATTCAAAAATGTATTAGTCTCACATTAATATAGACTATTTAAGTATGCATTTTCAGTAAAAACTTAAAATTAGTATGAAACTCCAAGCTAACAATAAATAATGCTCCCAACTTGATAAAATGAGCCATGCAGAGGCAAGCAATAATGTTAAAATCCATAAATTTGAAATATGGAATACTTTTTAACATTCAGTTTTAGGTTTCCTATTGAGGAGAGCCAACAATATAATGATAGTATGCAGGATGAAATTTTGGCATATTGAAACTTTTTTTAACTTACATTTTAAAAAAACATCCTGTAAACTTGTTGCAAAAGTAAATAGTGATTTCCTCCAGGGGCAATTTTATAAGTATTGTGGCTTTCATTCTTACCTTTAAACAATACATCTCAAAATATAGAGAATATAAAAATGGTTAGCATTTAATTAATGAGAATGATTTAATTTCTTGACATTTGTACAGATGGTTCCTTTACTGTATCACGTAAACTTTCCAAATATTTACTCTAAACATTTTTGACAGGTGACAAAAGTGAACTTAAATCATGAAATATATATATATATATATATATATATATATATATATATAGATTTGTAAATGAGATTTTAAAATTCAGTATTTAATTTTCAAAAGAAATGTTTAAATTGTTTCTTAATGTTACTTTAAAAAAATATCTCACCACTGAAAATAAAACTTCCGTAAATTATAGGTGAGCATAAACTTTTTTCATCCTGACATTAAAACACAAATAAACCTTAAAATTCTAATGTCCAGCACATAAAACGTTCTTAAACTATTAAACTATTACAGGTCTTGGGTGATAAAACTAAAATATTAATGTCCCAGGTCTTTAAAAAATTTTAGTAAGTCCGTGGCAAACAACTGAGCTCAAAAGTTAGAACTTTTAGCAGATCTATTAATAATTGTTGTTACACCAAACAAAATTTTAACTTAGAGTAATGACAAACATATTAGGATTTTTAAAAATATTGAAGTAACGTTTTAAAAAATTTATTCTCCATCCACCCACGACTTTAAAATTTTTTTTTTTTTTTTTACCAATCAGACAAATGTTCGCCTTCATAAAGGAAGTTAACACTGTGCCTCCTACAGGCACTAGTACCAACCCCATAACAAACTTTTTGAACTGGAAAATATTCCAGGATACAAGAGAAAAGATTTCCTTTTTAAAAGCAAGCAAACTTATTTTCACGTTTCTAATTTATAGTATGCTTTCCATTTTACTTAATGAAACAAAATAGTGACTTGACCGGAATAGAGTGTAAGGAGTACTTTCATTTAAATCCAATTTATTATGACATTTCTGCAGAAGCTATTTAATCAGCCAGTTAAATTAGTTAATAATTAAATGATTAAACAACAGTTCTGATGCAAACTGTATCAACCATGGATAACTCATCCAACTTTATGCAAGAAGTATCTACATTAATTCCTTTTATTTTCCTCCCTCTATGAAAGGGTAAGAGATGCACAAAACATCCAGAAGGAAAAAAAGAAATAAACTAAGTGACTCCTAAAAGCAAGTCATCCAAAAAAAAAAAAAAAAAAAAAGCGGAGAGACCTTTTCCAAAACTCTCAGATCGTACAAACCTATCAATTTCTATAATGAATTCACTGAAGGAAAGGGGATCGTGAGCGCCGGGCACCTTCCCAAACCCACAAAGCTTTTTACACATTCCTTCTCTCAAAGCATGTTCTTCTCGGAGCCAGGTTTTTCACTTACACTATACTCTCTCACTTTTGGGGAGAAGAGTTGCAAGGAAATCTGATCTGCAACCCATCCTGAACTAAGCCCGTATGGCGATCCTTACTCCGACTGCAGACGCCTGGGCTCGGGCTCCTCCTCCGGCCTCAGACACTGTCCCGGTCCCAGGCAGCCCTCCGCAGCCCCCCGCCTCCGCTAGAGGAAAAAAGGGGGGAGGGGCCGGATAGTTTCCATACCGCTACTCCCACAGATCACCACTCACTTGTCCCACCAGGCTATGCAGAGAGCGAAAGATTTCGCAGAGCACCTCTTGGGAGAGATTGGGGCTGCAGCTCCGCTCCAGACTCCTGTCACCACTGCTCGAGAGACTAAGCTCAACGGCAGCAGCCATGACACCTTCGCAAGCTACCCCCGCCACCACCAACTTGTGCTCACAAGCCCCCCCTCCAGCTTTTGTCGCCGGAAGATGACGTAAAAACACAGCGTCTAATTTAGAACGGGCCTTTGAGGACCCACCTCTCGTTATGATTGACAAGCCGATGCGCCAATCAGGTGCAACTATATCGTCACGCCAAAGACTTGGAGCAGGTAATTGCCGACCCGAGCGAAGCTGGCGTATAGTATTTGGGATGGTGGTTGGAGCGGTGGTCTACTGAGGGTTAGCATCTGAAGACTATCTTGATTTTTAGATGTTCTTTATGAGCGTTGGTAAGAGGAGACTTAAAGTTAAATGTTAGAATTTTAGAAGTTAAATTTTTGGAATTAAAAGAATTTTAACATGGCGCTGTGGAGTTGTCTGAGGAGAGACTGCTGGTCGGGGATGCAGCAGTACCCACACCAGCTTCTAAACTTCGGAAAACTCTTTCACATAGAATAGTCATATTTAGAACATTTTCATCTCTACAGTTGTTTAAAACTTAGGTAAGTTAATGTCACTAATTTTTCATGTGAGAGCGGAGAATATGAAAAAACAATAAAATGCCCTACGTTTCCTCGTGTACTATCAAGGGAATGGCATTAATTACTTTAAAATATGTTAGGTTTTAAAACATCCATCAGTTGCTACTCTCTGGATGATACTGTAGAGACACTTACCCTAAAGCTTTCAAAGAAGTGAGACACATCAATAGGTTCTAACAGTTTAACCCAAGTAAGTAATTACATGCAACACAATCTTTGAAACTAGAAGGAAGACAAATCAGAAGTGAAATTTGGCAACGTATTATTCATCAGATTTATTAAAAGGTATTTGAAGGACTTATATGGTATATAGTCACTCTAACATTAAAAAGTTTTGTTGTCCAACTGAAAAAAAAATTTTTAGAAGAATTTAAAATGTTAAGCTCTTTTCAGAAATAAAGCCCATCAGTTTGTAGATAAGGGAGGAGGTCTTTAAAATTCCTAACTCTAATAGTCTAATGCATTTACAGTAGAGGCAGCAAAGGTGGAAACTTGCATTATATGTATTCTTCAGTTTTAGAGAGGCTGAATGAAAGGAGCAGAATAGGCATCAAGGAACTGGAATAGGGGCAGTAGGGATAAAAGAACTCCTTTGACCTGTCCCTAGGGAGCCTCTTAATTAGGCTTTCATTTCCAAAGATCACCAGGCTTGACAGGATCTTGAGAAATCTTGTCTGATCCCTTGCTCACAGCAAGATACACAATTTATAATCCGCCTATGTCTAGAAACATCCAGAAAAAGATTTCACAATATGTAATCCAAAATCGAGCAACCTTCTCATTCAAGGCACTCATCTCCATATCTAACTAAAATTCATGATTCTTTGCAGTGCAAGCATATTTTCTTTCCCTCTGGTTCTCTTTTTAGAGAATAATTATAACAGGGTAACTAGATTTTTTTTTTTTTTTTTGTAACAAGTTAGCAACTGGTTTCAGATCATTTGTTTTCATCTAGGTGTGAAGGTTTTTTTGTACCAGTATTCAGGACACTGGTAGGAAACAGTTGGGGACATGCTTTGTATAAGAATACCATCTTGAATAAGGTACTGCTCGTTCCTGTCTATGCCATCACTGATTTTGAAATTTCAAGTTTTACTTGTTCCCTTGAACCTCTATTATAGAAGTGATGGCCATTTGACTTTTATATGTTATCTCTGTAATTCTGTGTTTTGATATCCAGACTTCCACTTTTATCTTAGTATTGCTTACTGAGATAATACTTGGAATTCAACTCTTTTATGCATTATTTCTACTTTCCAGGGATCTTTCTGATTCCTTCCTGACTTCCTGGCTTACTACCTTCATTTTGGAAAATTTCTCATTTTCTTCTATTTATTTTAAATAGAAGAGTTTGTAGGCTGAAAAAATGTGGATTTCTTTGGGCTAATTTTAAATAGAGATATGTAGATAGTAATGTACAACAAAAATATGAAAGCTATGACGTTTAGAAAGGGAATAAAGGAAATAATTTTCCCCTTATAGAAGACTAAGTTTAGTTTATAAAGTGGGTTCCTGAAAAAAATCTGCTGCCTGGCAGAAATGATTCAAAGTGTTGGTCTTAGCATTACCAACAGAATTAGAAATACTGTCCTGCAGCAAGTTTATGATAAGATCAATTGAAAGGATGGAAAATATAAATGAAATCTGGCCTATCTGTCTTAACAACAAAAATGTCCTTTATGAAGTGCCTTTAAGGTACAACCCCATGAAATAATCCAGCGCACAGTAAAATGCTTGCAGTATTAATAGTGCTCAAGAGATGTTTGTTCCATGTATATAGTACACATTTTAACCAATGCAGCAAAGGAAAAATCTTCTCTGGCTCCACATAACCTGATTGATAAGTTTAAGTTCCTTAGAATGGCATCTTAGGCTCTTCTCATGATTTGGCCTTTGCCTAAATTTCCAGCCTCATTTTCTGCCACAAACCGCCTGGTGGGTAATGCTCCTGAAACTGTTCTTAGTTCTTCAAAATTTTACTATTTTTTGCCTCCATGTTTTTGTTTTTGTTTTTAATTTATGCCCTTGCCTCTGGTCAGCTTAAAGAACTCCTATTCTTCCTTCAAACTCCAGCTCAGAAATATCTGGGAAGTCTTCTTAATTCTTCTCATAAAGAGTTTATCCTTTCTGCTAAACAACTCCTACAACTTGTGTATACTTTTCATTATCGTACTTATCATATTGATAGTAAAATTTCCCTGACTCTGAGTCTGTCTCCCCACTGAACTATGAGCATTTATACGTATCATGTTTGTATATTTAAGGTTTGCTATAGTACCTGGCATACAGGAGTTACTCAGTATATTCTTATTGAACTGAATTTATTTGCCTGTCTAGGGTGAACAAAAGTGTAAAATGAGACAAAAACAAGTTTCTACTCTTGAGGGGAAATTGTACCACATGAGAAGAATGATAGACAAATTCATTTCAAATAACAAAGCATGTCTGTTTATCCTCTTCTGGAATAACACCAAATTCAAAGTGCTCAAATTTTTCTTAATACATATAGCTAGCCTCCGTAACCATTCTCATGAATGATAGCCATACCAATTAATTGTACCTTGTATATGCCAGACACTCTGATCATCATGAGATATATAAAGAGGAATCAGACAAGGACTCTCTCAAAGAGCTCCAATTTTAGTAGGCTAGGCATATATGTAAACAAACAACTATGATATAATGTGAGAATGATCATTTTAGAAGTATGTATAGGCAATACAACCAGTTAATTCCTGTGGGGAGGTGTTTGGATTCAGTGTCAGGAAAAGCTCTAAACACTTGATGTATAACAGATTGAGGATCAAATGATGAGTACATTTCTTAATTTAGATAAAGCATGAGCATCAACTTGAACGTACTTAATGTGTTTAGGGAGGATTCACTGAATAGAGAAGTATGGCTAAGCCAGCATTTCCCAAAGTTTGTTCTGCTGAACACTAGTCCTGTGAGATGCTTCTTTTAACAAAAGTTTCCATGGCCAAATAAGTGGGAGTAATACTGACTAATTGTGTTACCATGTCATGAAATGGATCACAACATTCCACTTTCTATTAGCAAGGAGCTTACACTATAATCAAGTCCAACAACACAACTCAACAAATCCCAGAATCCTGTCTTCGAGGATTTGTTTACTGGGACTCTCCATACCAATTTCTGAGTCAGTCAGGGTTTAGTTAGAAAACAGAAACCATACGTGCTATTTGAACAGATAAAATGTTAATAAAAATTGTTATTAGGGTAAATTGTTAAGAGATAATAAGAAAACAATACTAGATCACAAAGATAGCAAATTCAGGAAGCAGCTAACCCCTCTAGGGCTGGGGGAACAAAGGGAAGAATTTGGAATTATTAAAATTTAGGAGCTTAGAGGCACATCCCTGTGGAGTCCCTCAGAGAAGGGAGTGGTGCTCACCTGGGATTGATGTCTTAAGAGGTGAGGGGACGTGATGAGGCTGATTTGGCAAGTGTTTAAAACTGCAAAGAAAGCATCCAAGCACTGCAGAACAACACCATGCAGACTAACATACATGCAACTGAGATCCCTGAAGGAGAATAGAGAGAGATCGGAGCAGAAGAAATATTTCAAAAAATGATGGCTGAGAAATTGCCCAAAATAATGAAAGCATCAAATGACAGATCCAAGAAACCCAGAGAACTCCAGTAGTAGTTGTATACTGCTGTGTAACAAATTCTCCCAAATTTAGTGGCTTAAAACAACAAAAATTTCTTGTCTGCTAGTTTCCGTGGGTTAGAAATTTAGAAGTGGCTTTGCTTGGTGGTTCTGTCACCCACTGTAGAGAAAGCCAGCAAGGCAGAAGCCATGGTGCCTTTTAACACCTAGTCTTTCAAGTCCCACACGGTCACTTCCATCCGATTCTGTTTGTCAGTACCAAATTATGGTGGTTGGCCCATACTCAAGAGGAGGGAAATTAGGCTCCACACCTCCATTTCAAATAACAAGGGGAAATGAATATTTTTTAATGTAAACAAAACGAAGATACTTGATTATCAATAGACTGCACTATTAGAAATGTGAAAGGAAGTCTTTCAGGCAAAAGGACCATGGTACTAGCAAGAAATTTGTATCTAGAGGCGCCTGGGTGGCTCAGGGGGTTAAGCCTCTGCCTTCAGCTCAGGTCATGATCTTAGGGTCCTGGGATCAAGCCCTGCATTGGGCTCTCGGCTCAGCAGGGAGCCTGCTTCCCCCCTCTCTCTGCCTGCCTCTCTGCCTATTTGTGATCTCTCTCTGTCAAATAAGTAAATAAAATTTAAAAAAAAAGAAATTTGTATCTATACAATGAAATAAAGATCTTAAGAAGTAATTAAACTAAAATGACATATAAAAGACATTTCTTTCCTAGGGTGACGGGGTGGCTATGTCAGTTACATAGCCCTTGTAAACTCCTTGCTAATAGAAAGTGGAATGTTGTGATCCATTTCATGACATGGTAACATACAGTTACAAGAGTCCCACTCTTGATTTCAGCTTAGGTCTTGATCTCAGGGTCATGAGTTTGGGCCCCAAGTTGGGCTCCACACTGGGTGCCGAGCCTACTTAAAAAAAAAAAAAAAAAGGTAATTTTTTCCCTTATTTTTACTTGTTCTAAGGATAGTTAACAGTCTAA